TTTTCACAATGAATAGAAGAAATGGCGAGAAGCCGTCCATTCAGATGCAGTTACGGCGTGGAGTTCAGACGCCACTTGGCGAGATCTCCTCCTGGAATAATCCAGCCGCAAGCAGGGGACTCTTTTTTTTGGTCTCATTTTAGTTCCTTTTCAATGCTGAATAGCGGCGAGGAGGGATTTAGCGCTCGTTCCGGGCACAGGCGGCGGAGGACAAGAAGCGCCATTGATCGGAAACGCTTTGCTTGTGGCAGGAAGGGTCGTGTCATTGCAGGTCCCAGGGATAGAAATCCGGCCCTGGCATCAGATCAGTCGCAGCGGAAGTAAAGGGAGAGTGTGCCAGGCTGGTACCCGGCATACAATGATTAGAGGCAAATTTAAGGCGTGGTTCACACCCCGGGCGTATTACAGGCCGTATGAACGCGCTGCAAAACGCCCTACGCCCCAAAGAAGTACAGGAGCTTCTTTGGGGCGTATTTGCAGCGCATATAGGGGGCTGAACGCTCACCTCGGCCAATCCCAGATGTTGATTGGCTGAGGCCAATGTGGTGTATACTTCAGTTCAATCACTGAGGCTGTTCAGCTGAACCGGAGGGAGCCACAGCCGGCCAATATATACGGCTGAAGTAAATGGCCTAGGGGGGGGTTCGGCTCCCCTCACTTGGGCTCGGGTTTAATCACTCGGCGGCAGCAGATTGGTGAATAACCCCCTGTGACTGCAACCCAAGACGTTGCACTCTCTTGGGCCCCCGGCTATTAGGCCTATTATATAGAAGTCTAGTAGTGTCGGGGGAGGTGATGTTTTGGGGTACTTTATTATAAGACGGATATTTTGGAGCCTTTGTACACTTACTGTACATGTTGTGCGTCATTTCAGGAATTTCTAATATAATTGGCGCAGGATTTTTAAATTTTTTTTTGGCGTTTTAGGTATTTGATGCCACTAATACCACCAGGGAGAGGAGGTCTGTGATTTTGCAGTTTGCCAAGGAGCGTGGTTACAAGGTAAATCCTGCATGAAGCATCGCAAGCCCCTTCCATCCCAAGAGATCCGATCCATGTCCTGTACTAACCCCAACCACACACAATCCCACAAAGCATGCAAGCGATCGGGCGGCTCTATAGCCACCTGAACACTCGTATGTAACAGCTGTTGACTGATGTTTAAAATGTTTACCGTGTCCTCCTCATGCGCGCTCAGGGGCATGAGGAGCAGGGGGGAAAAAGCCGTAATGTACGGCAACCCGCATTTATGCATCGTGGTTAAAGCTAGGGATGCACCGCTACCGAGCACAGATTATTATTTTTCCCGGTACTGGCCGATACTGAGTACCGGAAGTCGCATTCAGGAAGCCGGGCGGCGTGTAATGACTCCCCACCCGGCTTCCCGATTAACAAGGAAGCCGTCCCAGGCTTCGTGTCGCTATGTGACGAGAGAGCATGGAGCCGGCTTGTTGGCCAATCATGGAAGCCGTGTAATGACGCGGCGCCCCGTTTCCTGATTAGCCGGTAAGTCGGCTCCATGCTCCCTCGTCATGAGATGACGAGGGAGCATGAAGCCGGCTTCCCGGCCAATCGGAAAGCCGGGGCGGTGTCCCATTGCACGGTGCCCAGCTTCCTGATTGGCCAGCTTCCCGACCAATGCCTAGCCCGATACTTCCTGTATTGCCCGGGAAGTCGGCTCCATGCTCGTCACAGGTGACGAGGGAGCATGGAGCCGGCCTCCCGGCCAATCAGGAAGCCGGGCAGTGTGTAATGACGCGCTGCCCAGCTTCCTGATACAGGAAGTATCGGGCTAGGCATCGGAGCGAGTACGAGTACTCGCCCAAATACTCGGTATCGGTACTAGTATCGGTGTCGGTGCATCCCTAGTTGTCTTTTACATCATCCTAGATGTAGGCTTTAACTGCCTCCGGGCCGGCCGGAGCTCTCTCGATCTGAGCGGGCGTCTCTTGACGTCCGCTCAGACACGCCCCCTAGCTCTGCAATCATGAATACACTGCTTGCATATAACGACATTTGAATGCTGGAAGTACTTTGACCTGTATGGATTTGCCACCCAGTTGTGCAGACATTAAGGAACCA